ACAAATAGATAATAACCTTAAAGTAAAATTATGACAAAGTTAAATTAGTTAACCACACCATAATCAACGACAACACTACTTGGGATGACTACCTGAGGTATAACGTGTAAAAAAAAATTCATTAGGTTTCAATTTTTAACGACAATGCTGAAATTGGCCTAGTTCACAATCATCACCATCACCAGCGTATCGCAGTCCGCTGCTGGACATAGGCTTCTCCCATTGCACGCCACTTTAATCGATTTTCGGCTTCTCGCACCCAACTCCTGCCAGCCACCTTGCGTAGATCGTCACTCCACCTGGCCTGTGGGCGTCCTACACTACGTTTGTCTAGATACGGTCCTCAATAAACGGCTCGTTTACCCATACGGTTATTGGTTCTGTGGCTAATTTTGTTTTTCTTTTAATAATTATAGTTCTATACTATGTTCTTAGTGTGGTGTTACTAGTTCTAAACTCACCAAACTTTTACGTTTGAAGGCGAGAAGCGCTCTCTTACATAAAAATGAACCATCCTAAATACACTAGTACACTACACATAGTACATAATATAGTAATATGCATACAAACTTATGATATTTTGTTATTACCTGTGGTTGAACCAGTTTGTTCTCTCTAACCCTACGTGAGCTGTTTTTGTTTTGTGTTTGTGTGTCTGCCCAAAGTCTAGTGGTGTCTCACGTTACTAGAAAGAAACAAAGAAAGAAAGAGCAATAACAAGTTAGGAATATAATATCAAGTCTTCTATACTCAAATTAAATTAAATGAAATCATTAGTTAGTGATAAAGAACTGTGCAAAGAATAAAAAAATATCACCCATATTCAAGTTTTATTAAGATAACGTAAAAAAATCAATTCATTAATTATAAAAATGAAATATGTTATACACTTTATGTAAAACATTTTGTTTTTATAACTCATATAATATATTATCTGTGTCTGATATATAGATGTAAGGCAGGTTTAAAACCAATTAAACCAATCCGTTTAAGACGAAAAAACACATTTAAAATCGATATAACCTTTTTTTTTCGATTTAAAACGGTTGGTGTTGATGACTATGTTTTTCTTAATTATAACTTTATTTTCTTGATTTCACCGAGGTAAGGATATGACGGAGTACCTATAAACTGTGTAAAGACTGTTTATATGTGTGATATACTGATATTAATATACTTAGCGGGTTTAGTTCTAGTTGTCCGTCCGACCAAGCGTAGGTATTACCTACTTAAGTTACAAAAAACTCTATTGATAAGTCAAAAACTCTGTGTTGGTAAATAAAAATTTTTTTTATTGTTTTCAAACGATATAAGTAATCAATTTGATTCGGTTTAATACCAAACTCACGCTCTCGCACTCTCGTTGACGTCGTCACTGGCGACGGCCTCAATATGTCTTTAAGGCCGTCGCCAGTGACGTTGTCTCTTTCATGCGCAAGTAAAACGGACGACATTGTGTTAAATTCTTTAATATAGTGTGTGTAATATAATATAATAAATAAGTATAGTTTTCGTCTAGTAGGTAATGTAGGTAGGTACTTTCTTTTGATTTTCTATAAACGAATTAAAACGTAACATGACATCAGGTGACCGGTTCTTTAATTTTGGAAGGCGAATTTTCAACCATTTAAAACGGCAACAATTTATTTAAAACGTTTTAAATCGGTTGTTTTACATCTATAGTCTGATATGATTCGGTGAAGGTGACTAATGTTTAAAAAACTCACACGGCTTAGGGGAATAACCTGCAGTTGATTACGTCAAGGACACGTGTTGCCACATATTTTTTTTATTATCTACTAATTTATATATATTTATAGTTATTGTTGTTAGGATTTTTATACGTTTCATATTCTTATTCAGTTTTGTCGCGACACAACAACGACAAATCCAATTAGTGTTCATTTTGTGTATTATGGATGTACATCTAAACCTTCTTTTTAAGAAGAGGCCTTTGTCCAGCAGTGGACTATTAAAGGCTGTTGATGATGGTGATGGTGATGCATAGGTACATTACCTTAACCCATGTCCTAATAAAATAATACTTATATTGTCAGACTAGCTGCGAATATTTATTTAAATTCCTTGCTCATCCCACGGGAACTCAGGTCCTCAAAACTAAGGTTTGTCAATGTGGCATATTGCCCTAATTTATTATTTACATGATGACGAATTGCCTCAATATAAAAGATATTGTATGATAGTTATGAGCGCTATTGTAATTATGCTACAACAATGGAAACAACGCAAATATATATATTTCTACAATCACACTGGGTTTGTCTGCCAAACAAACCACCTTTATAATGCATCAAAATTAGTCCAGCCGTTTGAGCGTGAAAAACTAACTTAAAAACATATAAACACACTCTCAAACTTTCGCCTTATAATATATGTGTGATAACATCCGAAAAGATCGAAAGTGTAACTCAGTTACCATAAATTCTAGTCGGCATCTGAAATACTTTACATACGGCTATATTACTTTAAGCTTTTAGGAGTTATGATCAGATGCTTGTATGTAATGATCGTAGTTTTTGATCGATATTATTTTAACATTTATTTTCCTTAAAGTAAAAAAGGTTATTATTCTAACAAGTCGTTTCAAGAGTGTATTGTAATATGTTTGGATTGCATTTTATCCTTATTTTTATTAATGAACAGTCTAGACAAATTAAACGGAATTCTTCTAAAATAGTACAAAGTATTTTATGTGGTTACATTATTTGTGACTGACTACTATATGAACGTTGTTCTATTTATAAGCACATACAATAATGGTACTGTAGTAAGAATACAACACTAGTGTTGAAATATAGCTCGTATTTTTTGAACAGAAAGATTTGTAATAAAAAATAGGTGCTTGGTGTCATGTTGTATTTTATACTCGTATGTGGAAGTTTGACAGATAAGTACCTACGTAGCTATATCGCGCGCTTGCGAATTTTAATTACTGTTTTGTTTTTTGAATTGTGAATCAGTTTAATAAATAGTTTCAATAGATTAGACGTGCATAGAGTTGGTGAAGTGATTGTGTTTATTGGTTTTAAGAAGTAGTTTACTCGGAAGAATAAACGAATTATTTATTTATGACACAAGTAAGTACATATATGTATACTTGGTCGCCGGTAATTTACCTATTTATTAATCATTCAAAATGTCAATTGTATAGGCTGATGAGGATAAGTTTAATTATTAACTGGAACATTTACGAAAAAGTATCTACTTAAAAAATAATTAAAATATTAACTTTTAATGAAATAATTAAAGTAGTTCTGTAGCCAATAGAAAGTTGTTAGCGCTTAAAGTTGTTTTAAACCTTTGAATTGCTTTCGACCCTGGTAAAGCGCTTTAAACCTTTGAATTGCTTTCGACCCTGGTAGCATTGGTAGTGGTGGAAGTTAGAAATTTAAGGTTTTACCTAATAATTATATTAATACCCTGTAGTAATTGTATATAACTAAACTCTAGTTTTATAGAAATAATTTAAATTTCCAACTAGTTTTTGGCCGCGACTTCGTCCGTGTGGTGGTCGACATACGACTTCGTAGTAATTAAGGTGGTTGGATCGAAAAGTTAAAAAAAATAGCTCTCCATACAAACTTTTTAAAGGTAAGTAGTTTTTATTACTTTTGATAAAAAGTATTTACTGTGAGTTTGAAAACGCTACTACTAATAATAACCAAGTTTCACATAAATATAAAACCCCATTTTGCACCTTTCAGGGTGAATGAATTTTTAAACTTTTGGTTTTAGTGTACACTTACGTCACCTTACGATTGCTGGTGGCGACTTCTATATACAGTGAGACTGAGACATACTAACTTCAGTTTAGTGCCATCTGACGAAGACACACCAAACTAATGAGTAACTTCTAATCCTTTATCGCGATATGAATAGCTCTCACGCCGATTAGCATATATACAACTTGCTAAAATCTACCTTATGCCGTGTTGTTTTACCAGTTTGATTCCGACACACCGCCTCACCGCAAACCCGGAGTACCCAAGGTACACGGACCGAGAGGGTTTCCACACGTATAAACAAAACCTAACACACTCTTTATATTTAGCATCTATATTTATTCTAATATTAACAATTCGTCTGACATTCTAAGACTATTCTATACCGCTATTTCTACTGTGGCGACTCCCACATACAAAGAAACAGAAACATACTACAGCGCCATCTAATGAAGACACATCGAACTACGGAGTAACTACTAAAAATAAGAATTGCTAATCCTGTATCGCGATATAAAGAATTCCCTCGCCGATTAGCTTATATACAACTTCCAAACATCAACCGTTGGGCCGCTACCCGCCAGGCATGATCACCTCGCCTGGTCGGAGGATCCTCGCTTTGTGTTGGAGGGACATGACACCCGTTCCTCCACACTACAATGAATTTTGATTATTCGAATGTTTGTTCATACGTAAAGTAAGTCCGTTTTCATAAAAGATTTGGGCGATGAGGGCGTATCGAAATTCAGAGATCTGGTTATATTTGCGCAAAAAAAGGTACTTATATAGCAATTCTTAAGCACCTATCTCATTTAAAACGCTTTGTAAAGAGGGACGTAATATGTTGCTGTTTAATCTTCTTTCTGTGTAACTGAGTGGTGAAGAATTCAGTGCATTTAAAGTACACATTGATAAGACACCTATCTATCAAGTTATCTGTAAATATATAAAGGATGTGCCGATTTCATCAAAGACTTCTAAACTATGCAACGCAGACGAAGACTAATATTGATATAAAATACTTATATTCTTTTCTAATAACTTAGGCAATTACGCTTGCGTTTGCGTTAACATAAATACCTATTGTCAATCAATCTATCAGCCGGTGATAGCATTTCTTTTATGGACAGAAGGTACCCAAACTCCCTTACTTACCTATGAGAATGAGTATGCAACATTTCTTAAAGTTTATAAATAAAATAAAATTATCTTTACAGTAGGTATTATTTACGATAGACCCTGCCATTTTCAGGCAATATGAGTGGAAAAAGTCAACAGAAGAGAGAAGGTCTCCAAGTGGTAAAAGTTTCGGAAGAGCCAGGACGCCGCTACGTGTTGGATGAAGAGGCGCTAGAGAGCATCCTGCTGCGGGATGATATACGCAACCTGCCCATCGTCGTCGTCAGCGTCGCCGGTGCTTTCCGTGGTGGAAAGTCTTTCATCCTCGACTTCTTTCTTAGATACCTCAAGGCTCCCGTGAGTTTGATCTATTTTTTTCAATAGTAGGTTTTTGAAATGCTGAATTATTAAAAACCAAGTACATTCCGGCTTGGAAAAGGCTTAAAAGACAACTCGACAGTTAATAAATCCTGTGTCGCGGGGGACTTTACAAACATACATTAAACGGACACAAAGGACATCCAGACTAAGAACAACAATTTGTGGATCACACAAAGTGTTTTCCCATGTGGGGATCGAAGCCATAAAACCCAGCGCAGTAGGTTACTTTGTCCAAGTACTCGACTAAATGATTTTTAATAAAATTTAAAAATGGTGTAACTTTGTACAGTACAGTACAATTTTGCAGTTTTATTTGACAATTGAGCATAGGCAGTGCTTAATAATTTCGACAGGAACTAGAAATAACTTTGCAGACTCTGATAATGATAATGTGTAAAATGTAATATTTTGCTGCTTTTGAAAGTTTTTACAAGATTATATACGGTGTTGTACTAGCACTTAGTTTGTTTAGATTTCTAATTATTACTTTCTTTTACCCAGACTGAGAGCCAATTAACCAAAGAATGGCTGGGCAGCGAAGACGAACTCTTGGAGGGTTTCGACTGGCGTGGTGGTTCTGAGAGTAACACTAAAGGTATCCACATATGGCCAGAACCCATCGTTGTGTCCACACCACAAACTGACGAAAAGGTACCATTTGAATCGTTCTTACATGCTAAATCCGTACCCGGGTCCCCAAACGCCTATAAGTATTCGCCATACCTTTTGGAAAACACCACCACTTACATAAATCATATAACGACGTCAATAAAGCTCGGGGTCTTCTCAGAGCTTTTTTGTCGAAAAGAGATATGGTTGTTGTAGCTCCTAAATTTCTTTCTCGATAGATTGTGTACATTGCATTTCAAACTTCTACAACCCTACAGACTTTGCATTCTTATCAACAGGTGGTAGTTCTACTGATGGATACTCAAGGAACATTCGACATGGAGAGTGACATGGGAGATAACTCCAGCATCTTCGCCTTATCCACACTTCTGTCCTCTGTGCAGATCTACAATCTTCGAGCTAACATTGGTGAAGATGATCTTCAACATTTGCAGGTCAGTCTATACTTTAGATGAGTTAAATTTAGATCTTAATAGATTTTAATAAGATTTAGTTTCGAAAATTTTGGAATAATTTTCTAGTTCTAACTAGTCTTAGTTAGATTATACGTTCGATTAGATTAATTATTATTATTATTTAGGTATTTCTTTAGTTAAAAAAAAACTAAATAGAAACAGAAACCTTGGTACGAGTTTATGAAAAATTATGATTAACTATTAATATTTAAGTTTACCCTAACATTGTCGTTTTGTTAAGATGTTTCTTATCCAATTGCGCACTAATGATAATGTTTTAGTATGCTGATGGGGTTTTTGAGCAAAACCCGTTCAGTGAATGCATATTATTCAGACCTCAGAAATTAGTTTTGTGTAAGGTTACAGTCAATTATTCAAATTTTTGAAGCAAGTTCAGTCCACCTGGCTAACACTTTTGTATGTAAATATTTTTATATTTTATTAGCAAATTAGTATATCTTTATTTTAAGAGCAGACATTTCATATTATGCGGCCATATCTTATATTATGATGATGAACTAACTAAATATATGTAAACTCGGCTAGCTTTTCACGGAATATGGGAAATTGGTGTGCAATACGGAAGGAAAGGCATTCCAGACTCTGCTGTTCCTCGTCAGAGACTGGTTTAGCCCGTACGAACACCCCTACGGCTACATAGGTGGCGAAGGACTGCTGAATAAAAGATTCCAGGTAAAAATATTATCATTTAGTTTAATGGTCATTTTGAGTTAAGCACTCTTGTACAAGTGTCAAGTTACAAAAAGAACTAAGGGGTAAAGCTTCATAAAGTTAATCTTAGTTGTTTCTTTGTTTGTTAATTAATCTAATCACTGCTCCAGTCTTTGTAAATTCTTATTATATAATGTTATCATATATTCTTAGCATTTAATATTTCACATAACCTTAGGATTTCTTTTATTGAGATAGAATTTTAACCATCCTTTTTGTTACCAACTTCTTGTTACTTTTCTATACTCGACTATATGCTACGAATTCTTGCATAATCTTAGGAGAGAAATATATTTTTGATTGCTTTCAGCCTAAACTGAAACAGAAAAAACAAGTAAAAGAAGTGCGCGAACATATTCACTCGTGTTTTGAAAAGCTGCAATGCTTTTTGATGCCGTTCCCAGGTCCTATGGTCGCTAATGCACAATTTAAGGGGCGTCTCTGTGGTTAGCATACAAACTGTTTATATCTAGACTATCTCATAGCATACTTTATAAATGTTCGTGATTTTTGGAAATACTATTCATATCAAAGTTTTTTTTGTTTCTTTTTTTTTTTCTTTTATTATTTAGGGGTTTTTGTCCTTTCGGATATGACAACCTCATTGTAACAATTTAAACTTACATTTAATAACATAATTATATATACAATCTTTAACTTAGGTACAAAAAAAAAAAAAAAAAGGTACATGATAGAGGAGTAATTGCGGGCTTAGTCATGTGACAGAGTATCTTTGCTCCATTAGATGTAGGTGCAGACAGAATCATTTGGGGGATTCCTATGTATATCAAAATTTGTGAATATAATATTAAAGAAAGAAAGAAAGAAAAAAAAAAAAAATTATCCAAAGTTTAATGCTGTAATTTCTTAGACCTGTATTTGAATCTGTAATATATTTGAATACTTGTTTTCAGACATTGAAAAAGAATTCAAAGAATCTCTTTTAGAGCTAGTTCCGTCGTTACTGGACCCAAATAAATTGACCCGGAAAATCATTAACGAACATGAGGTAAGAGCACAAGGATTGCTCGAGTTCTTTAAGAGTTACGTGGACATATTCAACAGTGAAGATCTGCCGCAAGCTACTACCATTTTCCAGGTGGGTTTAAGTTATCTTCTTAAACTTATTTAACACTTTATTATATACTTTCAGTAACATTATTTCACAATGTGCCTACTCTTTACCCAAATATGTTTCGGGTTGGCGTAATGCGTAAAATGCGAAAAGGTTTAGCTGGTGTCTGTTATGGCCGACTTATCACACACGTTATCTTTTTTTTCTTTCTATCCAAAAAAACATTCCTCTTAAATTGAATCGGTTATTATAGTCCAGGCGCCAGGTAAAATGTTTGTCAATCATTTCCTCTGGATCGATAATTGGTGAGTCGCATCAGAGAGCTGCATCACAAAGCCTCCTGCTTCTATGAAATGTAATAGTTTTTAGACAGAATAAAGGAAGAAAGCAAATAGGGGGCAAAATTGTAAAACCGAGCAAGGCGAAGAAGCTAAAAAATGAGCTAGAGCAAATTTCAAACAGCAAAACCAGACTGAGACTACAATAGCTCGAAAAGGCCAGGATCGCGAAATCGTTTGCCCTATGATCGGTGACACCACCAAGACAGGGATATCAATACAATTATAAGTAACTAAGTTTATAGGTTTTGGTTACAAAATAAGCATTCAACAGATTTTGACAGACATTTAAGAATATATTTGTTTATATCTGGTGCCCGCCACTTCATTTGGTGTTGTATGGGAGAGCCCATCGAAACTTTTATTCAACCTCACAATATAATATCCATATCGATAAACTCGGGATTGTGTTTACGACAAAAGCGAGATGATTTTTTTTATATCTAATCTATACAAATAAATAAAATTGGAGTGTCTGTTTGTAATATTAAAATAACCGCTTTTTACTAAATGCATATGTATGTTTACACGGTACATATGCCAAAATATCATATTTTACCATTTTTGTCTGTCTGTTTGTTCCGGGTAATCTCTGGGACGCGGCGTTACCCGCGGTTATAACAACAAACGCGGGTAACACCGCGGGTCTCAGCTAGTAATATCTAATACTAGAATTTATCAAAATTATTTCAGTTCTTAAGGCGTCAAAACTAACAGACAAACAAAAGAGAGTTATGTTATTGGTAGAGGGGGCAAGTAAAAGAAAAGTTTATCCCACAGAAAAGAAATCAGACACACAGTAACTTATGTATAGCCTTGGTCATCAAATTTTCAGGCTACAGTCGACGCTTGTATGATGTCAGTCCTTCGAGAAGCGAGAGAGCGCTACGAGAGCATCATGGAGCCGAACATCGTTGAAAATCAGACCATATCGACAAACATCATGCAGGAGTTGCACAGCTCTGCCGTTGCTGCTGCTGTTACTTACTTCGAGGGGAAAAAGAAGCTTGGATCAGAGGATAACGTTAAAGCCCATTTGGTGGACCTAAAAAAGGTTTGTCCATAAATATTCTCATTATTTCAGCTATAATACATCCATTTTGCATATAAGTAGGAGGGCTATTGCCAACGGTGGCCGTTATATATGATATAATACGTAATCATTGACTTTCAAGTAGAAGAATTTAAATTCCCCATCGTCTATCTTCTCTCTTTGACTGCTATAAGCTTTGTATTTCACAGTGCACTTTGAATAAATTAACGCGAAACAATTTCCTTGCAGGAGTTAGATGCTCGGCTGGCGAGATATCTGTTGCAGAATGATGCTAAAGTCAGGGTCACGATGTCAGATGCTAAGAAGGCGTATGAAGACGTTGTTAGTGCAGTGTGTGGAGATCAATCTCGTCTTTGTTTGCATGTACAGGACCTGCGCTCAGTGCACCTGAAAGCGATACAGGCCGCCCTCGATGTGTTTGACCTTACTAGGGCAAAGGTTCCGAAGGAATCAGATATAGATAGAAAAATGTTAATTGAGGTAATGTTGCAATAAAATAGCATTGTGTAATCCCACCCTCAGCGGCTTAAAACTTTAATATAAGTTATTTATTTTCGTTTATTCCTTTGCACCTATAGATTGTCGTAGTTATTTATATATTAGTGCCTAGTATTCTCTTTCTGTTAAGCTGTAGTGCTCCAAAAAGAGACCGCTGAACGGGATCGGAAGTGGACCGCTATAGAGTGGAGGTCTCTAGTGGCAGATTGATTACTACGGCAAGGGACATATTGGCGGTGATAGTACCAAAATGTGTTATTATTTTAAAACATCGCCGCTCCGTGCTCTTCTATAATATGAACATTTGAAGATTCTTCAAATCAAACTGTATCATTTTTCAGAGCTTAGAAAAACATTACGAATACTTGTGCACTGTGAACGAGCAGAACAACAGGAACGCTACATTGGAGGCTCGTGAGTTGTACCTGACACAGATGAAAGACGGGGTCGACCAACAGGGCGTCAGCTCTGAGGCACTCAGGGCACGACACGAAGAGGCTTTGCATGCAGCTACAAGACACTTCCAATCATTACGTAACCATCCCACCCAAGAACAAACGGATCCAGACTTGGAGCAGCTGCAAAAAGTACGTTCACACCTTGAGGAGCGCTTGGCAAGGCTTAGCAACCAAGTACGCACGCACGTGCGGAGAATCAAAAAGTCTTTGCGATTTTGATTGCTTTTAAAATGATATTTAATGTCAATATAATGTGCTTATGTGTGTGTACACTCACACATAAGCACCTACATACGCAGCATCAAACATTCACATATACACTTATATCCACTTACATATACTGACATGCTTAGTTATATTACAAATTAGAGAAAATACATTAATTCATTTATCTCACATGTAAAATTACATTGTGCAAAACATCTCACTTACCGCATCTACTTGTCTAGAGCTAGGAGGGGCTGGTCATCTGTCATACAGGTTTTACCTAGTACGTATACCAGTCTCTCACACAGATTATCATTTTCTTGTAATGTAAAATTAATCTATAACTTTGTTACCACTTTATTGATGTAACATTTTCTGTGTACGAGAAGAAATAAATATATATTATTATAATATATTATAATAATACTGAAATTATAACTATAAGACTAAGATTTTAAACTTATCGTGCCTGGACTCCAGGTCCCTTTTCGCTAATTTGACAAGATATTACCTTAGTGTAAGTAGGTTTATTTACAAAGTTTTGCAACAGTGTTCAAAAGTCACTATTTCGTGAATTAAAGAATTTATTTTAGTACCATTCTAAATAAATCTTGTCGTTTACTGTTAAGATTAAACTGGTGTCATATCTGCGCATTTTATTTACAATCCTACTGTTATTGTCACTTTTGAAACACTTACTTAAGAACACTCAATATTTAAGAATCAAACAATGATAGTGGTAGTACTGAAAGAATTGACAACTTTTTCATTTCAATATTGTTTGACAATTTGTAGACCACCCAAAAATCTGTTTTGTATAGTCAGATAAAAAATAACGTAGTAGACAAATCCTTTGATACAATATAAACATATAATAGATATCTACTTAAAAAAGTATGAAGGCTTATTAAAGTATATTCAATAGAATAATAAATAATTTACTACTACTCCATCTTTTGGACGTAAGTAACGACAATACTTGCACCCTACCAGCCAAGGTGAAATATATTGTAGTGTGAGTGTATATATGTGTATATATTTTGTACAGTGTACTGAAGAAAGGCATGTTTAAGGCACGCTCGCCGGTAACGGGAGCGTGTATGAAAGACCTGATGTATGTGGAAGAAGCGCGAGCTGAATGTCCGTATCATTGAAAATGGCTTACCATCATCTCTACCTACCCCAAATGGTCATGAGCCGTGGGTGTAGGGGGGTTCATGTATGAAATTGTTGTTCAACGTAATGGAATCTACAAATCTCCTTCTTTTATCTTTTTCTTTTACCAAAATGGCCAGCTAAAATTAGCTTAAAAGCTGATTATTATGTTTGTATTTTTCCATTTGATTAAACCAGATACCAATAAAATATTATCATTTTTGCGAAATAAGTGTGAAACTCGACGCTTAAAAAATCAAGTTTTTTGCTGTCTATTAATATATACCATCTACACTTTAACGTAAAGCGTTACTGTATATAGGAGACCTTATATAGGAACGCTAATAATTTTATAATCGCCCCATTATTTGTAAATGTTTGTTGTAAAATTAAATGTTTAACACTTATCTATCTTAATATATTTTCCAGGATATCGAGTCATATTTCGCGAGTTTCAAAAAGGCAAACGCTCACAGCAACTTGTTAGCGATGCAGATAGCAGAATATGCATACAACAACTACGTTTCATTGGAGTGGGTTCCACACTCCTGCTGCTTTCATCCACGAGCGCTCCAAGAGATGCACGAGGAAGCAAAGAAGTGCGCTCTCAAGCAGTTCCTCGCTGACAGGACGGAAAGCATAGACGATGAATATAAGGATAAATTGATTGCAGTAAGTCTATATATAACTACATCCTCTTAAATTGAGCTATGCAAAAAGAACTTTCTTTTAAAAGTACGCATTTGTCAGTATATACCATACCATAGATATACCATAGCTTTTTAGTTTGTAGTAGAGAACCCGTGAACATTTTTGCGACTTTTAATACAGAAACCGACAAACCTATCTGTATTTTGTTGCTTGGAAAAAATTAATAGCGTGTTGAACGAATAGTTGAGTTACCTGATAGTAAGAGACTACTGAATGGATACCAGCAAATCAGGAGATACAATTAAGTGACTGCCATTGGGTGTGCCATAGTTTTGGGCACTCAAGGAGTAGTTGGGCTGCTTGTGATCTCATTCCCTCGGTGAAAAACAACAAAAGAATAGATTAACACCGGTTTTTTGAGCCCGTAGTATAATTCCGGTTGAGTCAGCCCGTATGTGCCAAAACATGGTTCAATGACGGTAAAAGGCGCTGTCGAATCCACCTCTTACATCTACGAAACAAGTTTGAGTACAAATTAGTGCCTCTGTTAATTTTTATAGTCTTCCTAGAGCCAAAAGATTCTGCGCGCTCTTTTTCCAAGAACTTTTTTAATGTTTTTTTCGGATTTTGCAGAATCTTGAAATTCGTTACGGAGCTCTTCAGAAAAATAACAATTACAATAATAAACAGGCCGTGGACCAAGCGTATGGAGAGTATATACGTGAAATGGACAACTACAGCCGGCCTGGAGTTAAAGCTCTCTTCATTGTAACATTCTTAGTGAAGGTAGTTTTTAATTTAAAAAATGCTGTGATAATTCAATAAAAATAATATTACTTTAAAACAAACATTTGTGATGTTTTTAAGACACTTCAATCTTTATACGATATACCTTTTTCGTTTCTCATGTTCTGATCCGTGTAGTGACGGATTAAGAATACGGAATGTCACTACTCCAAATCATCCCGTAGGTGTCGTAAGAGCCGACTAAGGGCGCTAAACAACGCAGGACACCAGCACTGGAAAAATAAGGAAAACTTGACACAAACCCTATACCAACCCGTCTGGCTAGCGTGGTGTAGTAGGCCAAAACCTCCTTTCTAAGGAGAGGCCTATGTCCAGCAGTGGACTATTAAAGGCTGTTGATGATGATGCTGAAGTTCTGATTGCAAAGCAATCAAGTGGAAGCCTTGTACAAAAGATAATTTAAACGAGATTTAGATCCTGTAATTTCTGACCAGTTTTTTAAAATTATTTCAGTCTTTCTCGTGGTCTAAGTACCATGAGAAAGCCAAGAAAAAGGCGATGAACGTCTTCAACGAAAAACGTCGTGGAGCTACTTATGATGATGATGAACATTTGAATGAGCTCAAAGAGGTAATTTTATTATAATTTTTAAAGTCTCAAAGTTCATGCTAATAAAATATATTGCCTTATCTTATTGAACTGCCTCGGTGGCGCAGTGGTAGCGTATGCGACTGCTGTTCTGAGGTCTCAGGTTCCGGGTCGGACCAAATGTTTGTATGCTCTGCAAATATTTGTTTCGGAATTTGGGTGTTTTCTATGTATACTATGTTTGTATTTAAAAAAAAAAGTATAAAAGTATTCTATCAGTCAATCTAGCTTTCATAGTACAAGCTTAGTTTGAATCTTGACGTTGTGTGAAATCTATTCCGAAAAATATTATTATTTATCTATTAAATCTTTGCTTCTCTGTCGTATCCGGAAAAAGGACCACTTCGCATTTTATGTAGTATTTTAACATGTCAAACTACTTGACTGATTTTAATGATATGTCCCTTCTGCGTTTGAGTGAATCCCTGAATGGTTTAGATTTCCAATTGACTCCGGTAGATGGCACTGCAACTAGGTAAAACATTGACCACTTTGTTTCTGTTATTTCTTTTTATGGACTGTATTTTTCTTATTGTCGAAATCAAAAATCTTTAAAGAAAATCCAATATTTGGGCAAATCATTTGGACCCACTAGTTCGTTATAAATGATTATTATGCTTACATACATATAAAACACACACCAATACGATTTCTAAATATTTTTTTACTGAGAAATAATTTTCTTCTTTTATTTTTACAGAAAATCGACGAGGCTTATGGAGACTATAAGAACCCTCTGAAATCTTTGGGCCGAGAAATAGGATTGTAACTGTGTGTATATCGACCTTCCATTGTAGATCAGTTATTCTGATTGCATCATCATCAGCCTATCGCAGTCCACTGCTGAACATAGGCCTCTCCAATTACACGCCACTTAGATCGATTTTGGGCTTGCATTGCATAATAGCTCTAAATCTAAGAGAAGAACACAACCGCCTTCAATTTTATCAACTTGTAGATACTACAGGATATACTCGTAGATATAAGGCTACAGAACTGATATCATATCTCTGGGTCCGGATGTCTTAACAACAGCAGTTCTAGTGGCACACCTTGTTGTTTTAGTCGGTCCGATTCAGACACAATACCCACCGCAAAACCCCGGTGGCGTGACGGCCCGCGGGGGTTAGTTCACACGTAAAATAAATCTGATATCATATCTCTAAAACTAGTTTCGTTGGGGATAATATTGTTTTCGGAATAAAAATTACAATAAGTCGTACTATTAGCTAAATTTAATGTCGATCGGTTGAATAGTTAACACAACTTCACGGATGGCGTAGTGGTTTAAGCGATCGCCACGCCGTTTCCCACTGCGCTGAGTGTTGTGTGTTCAATCAATTACCCACATGGGACACCACTTTGTGTGTTCCACAAATTGTTGATCTGAATCTGGGTGTTCTTTGTTTCCGTTTTATGTATGTTTGTAAAGTCCCCCACGACACAGGATATATATTCCTAATGCGGGAGTTTCCTTTTTTTAAAAGAAAAAGAAAAGAAACACACCACTTACAAGCTCTAGTTTAGTGAGGATATCCTTTGATTGCTTGAAACTTGCTTGAATCTTCTATGCATTTCGTTAGTACTACCGGCTGTGTTTAGAATCAAATGTATTTGAAAAAATATATAAGAATTTTTATACTACTATTACATAGTTTTATTTTTCCACGTTGCTAAAGTCACCCAAAAGCAAAGCCAAGAAAATAATTTTTACTGACATAAAATAGGTAGGAAAAATTCGTGCAAGAATAACTTTACTTTTAAGGTAATTGCAGGAGTATTTTGCTAATACGACTACGTATTAGTAAAATACTCTGTTTCTGCACTGAAACTCATAGTGGATGGATTATGAATTCAGATAACGATGGGTAATTAGCTAGCTCATTCATTACTCATAACAAGTAAATAGCACGCTTAGGATAAATTCTTCTAAGATTTTATACCTTCTAACTTAGGTCGACCCAAGCTCTATCTTCTCGGAGTGAGACAATCGACGTCAACAGTCCAGAGTTTAAAAGTCAGAGACATTTGAGAAATATTTAATGACACTAATTTTTATTTATAGAAGCACGTCCTTATTTATATCAGCACTAAAACTATTACACTAGTGCTGAAACCTGGGTTTGGTTTCATCTCAAGAAAACGTAACATAGAAAAGTCTGTTTGGTATCACTGTTGTGGTATTTTCAGAAATCATGAAAGCGAAGACAAAAATTGCTTTTCAACAAAATTTTTGCAATATAAATCTGGAGATACTAAGTTATCGTTTGGAGTACGTAAGAAATGCTTATATACTGAAATTCTTTCGATCACCTCTAAAGTACTCTTTAAGGTGATTGCTCTAAGGATTCTTTAAAGATTTTAACATATCAAATCGTAGTAAAATATGTTCGCTGAATATGTGCATAATAAAACCACTGTAGCACTGTGCTGAATAGGGAACTCCTTATTTTTAATTAGTTTAATATAATTTGCTTCTAGCATTCTAATTGCGTAATGTTTAAAATCTATAATTATTATATTAATCATGCATGACCACTTGCACTATGCTTTAGTACATATTATTATGTAATTCAAATATTACTACAATCTCTGTATACGAAATTAAATCCCTCCGCGCCTCGGAGAGTTAGTTAAGCCGTCGGTCCCAGTGGCCATACGAACATCTGTGGCAATCGGCTTACGGATAGTTGGAATCCTAAAAAGTCTAACAACAGTCTTTCTACAGAACTCCAATATCGCCTAGTACTTGGGTTGTGAAGGTCTGATCAGTAGACTTACTTACAACATAGTTTGGGAAAAGGCTCGAAGGTAAAAGAAGGCTACACCAAAAAAAAAGTAAGAACCTTAGATGAATTTATTTTAAAAGTATTTACAAAATGATTGAATATATATGTATTTTTTCCGAGTATAGTATGCAATGAAATAGAAAAGGTAAAATAACGTTGAGGTTTTTTCCTTTTACATTTAAATAAGTTTTGATACCCATTGGTAAACAGTATAATGTTTGGATAGGTGGCTTCCTCTATCATTCTTTATTGTCTAAATTGTTTCATAAATGATTTCTGAAGTGAAAAAATAAAATGTTGTCTCAAAAACACATGCATTAAATACGAATGAATAAAATCGCAACGTGTATTAACTTAGTATTTTAGGTTAACAATATTTAATCCTTACTCTTGATTCATCCTCTCTGTTTGACAAAACATGATTTTGACAAAAATAGTTATAGTAAGATGCAAACTTAATGGCGGCTCTGAACATCGTGCATTTCGATGCGCAGAACACAATAATAGACAGCAGCGGGACGTAAAGGAGATCAAGACACGCATGCCTTTTACTGTGCAGTGTGTACATCCGTACACTGTACATGCGCCAATATTTCTGTCTACGTACAGTCCAGTCGACTTGAATGTAGGTACCTGCGCAGACCTGTGTGCGCAGCTAACTTCAGAGCTGCAATTAAGTTTGCATCGGACTATATAAAATTATGCATCATATTTACATTTTATGTGTCGTATAAAGTTTCTTGCAATTTTAATTTAATTTAATTTAATTTCAATCAAGCTATTTTGTATCAAGCACACATGCAGTTTATTTAGAATATAATCTAATTTTAAATATTAGCGGTACAATGTGGCTTTGTCCTTTAAAAAACAAAACAAAATCAGAGCAATTGTTGCTAATGACATTGACATCACTTTACACGAATAAATATTGTTTGATCTGCAGCAATTTCGCATTATACTAACATTCTTAAAAATGAAATATATATTTTTTTCGAAAATAAATATAGAATATAAGGTTCGCTCTATTAAACACAATTGTCTAAAACGTGGCTAAATAATGCCATTTTCAAGTTGTCTTATAATACATATCCATTATATATTTACATTTATAATTATGTCTATACTAATAAGTCTTTTAACGTTGAAGATTTCGACAAAACGATACACTTATTAGAATCTAGTACGTAAAGAGGTAAGGAGGGCTATCTCCATTTACATATAAAGTTTGTATGTAGGTGGCGCTACTTCAGCTGGAGAGTGTAGTAATAAGGAACGAGAACTTCTACTTTGTAATGACGCAAATGAAAAGAAAACTTTTAAAATTGGAATCAATTTAAACATAAAATAATTAGAAGTAATTACTCACTTTTATTCGTATGATCACAGGTATATTCGTAAGGTCATGCCGGCCACAAAACAGCTTTGTAACTGTTATGTGATATCGGCCGAAATTCAAAGGTATACCTATAATACCCACCTTTACATATATAATCGCTATAACCAGACAGAAGTCATTTAACTAACATGTTTTGATCATTCATCTAATCAGAAATTAGAAGACATGTAACTAAAATTTTTTTGTTATACCACCATATAACCTTTTCATAAGCTATACTAATCAGTAATCGCTCAAAAAGTTAATAAAATTCAGCGCCATGTAGTCATTCTAACTGCCTCGTTAAGATACCCTCCCTCTAGCTACGCTAGCGCCATTATAGTGGTCTGTTCTAGAACTATTAGAAAGAAAGAAAGAAAGAAAATTACTTCTTTTAGTTGAGCCAAAATGCTCCTCCTTAACTCCAACCTCCATGATAGTACATTTTACCGCTCTTGCGGTGCTCTATAGTGACTAATTGCCACAGCTAATCCAAAATATGATTAAAATAGAAAATAGAACTACAATGTTAGTTAATATGGCACTACATACATACTTTTAGTATACAAGAAAAAGGTAAATAAATTACTCATATATACATTTGATTATGATTTGGTCCTCTGAGCCAAACAAGTATGGCGATAGTTATGTGTCTCCTCCTACCGCATTTATACCTACCTTGGATTTAGGATCCGGTTCGCATCCATGTTTATTTTGCGTTAACATACAATTAAGAGCAAAAATGACGCATGAAATATGGGTTTGTGTTCCTTCTTAGAAAAAAAAAACGATGTTTTTATTTTTCTTAAAGATTGCCTTTAATTAACATTATATATGGCACAGAGAGGTCGTATACATAAGCTGCATGCGACTTGGCTATCAATACTGCATACTCTTGATGCAAAACAAATAGGAAAGCGAACAAGTTTGGCAATACCTCTATAGGATTCGAAACTTGCATAGTTTAGTGCTCCTATCATTCACTAGGGGTCCCTAGAGCGTGGCATCTCTAAGTTAGGACTTAGGGATATCTCTCTAATCGTCAACTAGCAAATTTAAAAAAAAAGTTTTTTTTTCATTTCGAAAATGGGTTGTTCGAAATTCGAAATATGATTTATTTCTATTAACATTTAGATTTATAGAGCTCCACGTTTAAATTTGCAGACGTAGTAGTAGTGGTAGTCACTTATACATTATGTCTGAGTGAACTTTGGTATTTTGTAAAATAATAGGTGTATAATAGTAAGGCACCTTTTACATGATTTATGATGTTTTATTATATTTTTATCAGTCCGTAACTATAATTAATTATACTGAGAAAATTAGTCTCATTAGATCTTGTTCAGTGCCTTACTATTAAGTCCTAAGGTAGCGATATAGTCAAATCACTTAATATACAGTTATGTATGTATTCTTATATTGATAATTTATTAATATCAATTACGAAAATACGGATTTATTCATTTGTGTATTTCGGGAATGTTCGACAAGTCAGTGTGGCGCCGGCAACTGACTATATACTTGAGTAAATCCGTATAATAACAACCATTACTTAATATTATTTATAATTATACTGTTTCCAAAAGTTTTATTCGATTTAATAATAATTTAGTTTTACTAAAGTTCTAATGCGATGTCAAGAAGTTTGAAATTTTTCCCTAAACGACGAACAATGTATTTTATCATCTAATTATTGTGTTAAAAATCGACTATTCTACAATTTGTATATTGTACGTTAAATTGTATTTTACAATATCTTAGGTACTGTTTAGCACGCAACGAGGCTTACTAATTTTTTACAAAATCCTAATTAAGGGTAACACAACCTATCTAATATTTTATACAATCGAATGGAATTTATCCATCCACAGACAATATAACATACATAGATATCATCGTGGAGGAGTTTCCGGCAACGGTTGCCAACGTCTCGTACTTTTCCTACCTCAGAAGCGAACGAGGATAGAAAAGAACGCTTTAAAATACTAAACGATACACTCAGTGAATGCGAGTCACCGAGTGACTCTCGCAGAATCACAGGTGATGGAGTCCAATGGCACACACAGCAGGGCCGGTTCAGACGTCGAACAGCAGCGCGATGTTGTGGTGCGAGGCGCGTCGCTAGTAGTGGTCGTGCACGTGCGGCGGCGTGTGCGGCGAGCGGAACTGCGCGCGCCCGTACGTGCCGTACGCGCTCTCCTCCGCGCCGCGCCGCGTGCTCGCCACGCCGCCCGCCACGCCCGCCACGCCGGCCACGCCAGCCACGCTAGCCGAGCCCGTGCCCACTGTGCTGCCAGAGTACATCGAGTCGCGACGAGGCTGAGCCGCCGCACCTGCAATACACGTATCCATTACATATTATAGACTAACTTTATCAGTAGATCTACATTCTATTTTATTGTTACGAATCTTGTGACGTCAAATTGATATACATATTATTATGTAAAGCCTAAGAACAGTCTTGTACTACGACCTAAATAAGTGTAAACGTACCATTAGCTTATGATAAACAACAATTCAAAAACTATTTGGCAAAAAATATCGTAGTGTATGTAGCTATATCTATATCTGTAGCTACATCTTCAGATAACTTAGATTTATCGTTAAGTGCAAATGAAGTTGATTAGTAAAGTTGGGAGATTTCACCAATGAAAGCTCTTCAAGTCAAGTGTTCAATTTCAGCATTATACTGAACAGAGTCTGTTTCTGGTGTGATCTATTTTTATTTAAGTCAACTATTGTCACCATGATAACTAAATTCTAAAACACTGATACAATCAATCATCAGTCAAAAGCAACTAACCGGCAGGTCCAGGCCGCACTCCATTAGCGGTGCCATATGGTGGATCACGTTGTGCATTGTGTGCATTTTGATTGTGCGCGAGCGCATGATGAGCGTGCGTGTGCGGTGGCCGCAAGACTAGCGACTGCGCTCCTACCAGCGGTGCAGTGCTACCCGCCGTCACTGAACTCGCATTACCAGCTACACCTGACGTTGCTGAGCTACCCTTACTATACACTGACTGTGACCTGAAAAAGTGAAAAGTAATTTTAATGATGACGTGAAAGCGGCCACAAAAAGCTATTTGCTTTGTTGACCTGCTATTGTACATGTAGTAAATACAATGACAGTTCAAGTTATATTGGAAATTAATAGTTTAATTTACGTTACAGTTGGGTCTGCGTACTTCCAATAAATTGAAGCAATAACATTGCAATACTACTAATAAAACAGTAATAGTACTAATTTAAAAAAAAAATACACCAGTTAATCCTTATCTAAATTTAGTCGTTCAGAATAATGATACTTTTATTAAATTTACATTCAGCGATTGTATGTTTTACCTTACATTTTCAAATAAATGTATTAAATCGTATTTTATATAGTGCTCGTTCTTAAATTAAAGATATTTAGTTTCTATGTTTTAGTATTGTATCGTCACTAGTCCTCCATTTGGCTTGTGCACATCAAGATAATCGATCATCCTTGAAAAATACATTAATAGTTGGCGTTGCATACACAGACAGATAGTTACAGGAAAGCTGATAAAATGATACAAACATTCCGTACCTGTGCAGGCCATGTCTAGCAGGCGGTGGAGATCTGCAGTAGAGAGACTTAGTCCCAGAGTATAGAGGTTCGTTCGCATCGGGGCGGGGGGCTGCGGCCGCGCAGTACGTTGGCGCGTGACGGTAATGCGAATGCGAGGGGAAGGCTGGCTTATCAAGTTCATCAAGATCCCGAGGTGACGATGCTCGGGAAGAACCCCCTCCTGGTCCCCGTCGCGAACCCCACTCGTGAAGTAGTGCACTGGCTACGCCGCCACCAACACCACCAACCCAGCATACCCAGTGGCTCTCCCATCGGGATAGTACAAACGATGGTCCCAAAGAACGCGCAGGATTTAAAGATGGCATCTATAAAACAAAATTGTTCGTTCCGTCAATGATGACAACATAAAGGAATATAAAAGTTAAGTTTGTTACCAAGCTGTTCACTACGTGATGGACCAATAGATGACCACTGATCATCTCTTACAATTGTAATAAATGTAATAATGCGATTATATACCTACGATCTTCATTATCATAACTCCTATAGTTGAAATATACACAAAAGACAAGTTAACTAACTCAAACTCAAAATATCTTTATTTCATAAAATTGTCTCAAATCGTCTTTTATGTAGACACACACAAATATTTAGCAAAATAAATACATATAATAATATTATACCTATCGAAAATCTATTATATGTTTAAATCTATAAACGCCCGTTTCCAAGGGGTTGAGCCTAATGAGAAGAACCGGAGAGTTCAAATGATGATGATGGATTATTATACTTTTTAAAGATAATAGTGCTCCGATATAATATTTCTTTAGTTTCTTTATTAGTGAAGTTAATATTAGTTTGTAAAAAATATATTTGTAAAGTTTACAATAGTTTGTAATACATATATTAGTAAAGTTTATATTCGTTTGTATTATATATATTAGTAAGTTTTTATTAATTTGTAAAAAATATATTAGTAAAGTTTTTATTAATTTATAAAAAATATATTAGTAAAGTTTTTATTAATTTGTTAAAAATATATTAGTAAAGTTTATATTCGTTTGTAATCAATATATTAGTAAAGTTTATATTAGTAGAAACTCTCATTACTTCGATTTCTGTGAGGTAAGCAGATGTGTGATGAATATCATTACGATTATTCAGGTGACAGAGTTATGTCGTTGTAGGGGGTGTTATTATTATAAAGAGGCGTGTAATTAAGGACTTCAATTACTTTTTTTTATTTGCCTAGTTATAATATTAATATCAAAGTTATTTCAAACATTTCAAAAATTAAATCGCCTGACAACAGTTTCAAGCAGTATTCAGAAGTAGATCCCGTCACGATTAAGGTTATTCAGCAGTTAGAATCATGGTCGCTTTTTCATAATCAAACATTACTTCCAGCCGTCTACTTCAAAGAATTCGCAAAGAAATATTTGAATAGACATCTCAGATATTGCGTAGGTAGTTATTTTTTCTCCTACACTTTGTTCGTCGGCAGATGTTTACATCAGGCGGCTGTCCTTAAAGATCGCCGCACAAAAGGCAGGTAGTACATAATGGCCCGATGCAGACAATGACAGGTCTCGACAGCTCAACATTCGAGGCACCTCGAGCTTCAGATTTATATAAGTTAAAGTGAATATAAACTCAATGTAAAGTATTTCGTTGAAGAATAATAACTTGACAGAACTTGAATTATTCATATATAGTAAATTCTCAAATTGTTATTGCCTTGGTCATCTATTTTTTCTTGCATTTGATCTTGACGTTATAAGTGGGATTAGTTCGGCACCACTTAAACTCACAAAACAAGCTAAGATCTGTTTTCTACATAATGTGGGCTTCTGTGCACCAATTCTAGGTTATACCGTTCGTAACGGAAATTAATACCTCACCTAAACGATTAACAAAAATAAGTATCGACGTGATTCGTACTTACCGAAACAAAACTAGCTGCGCAGTATGCCGTTCCAAGAAGCGCTGGCGCAGCACCAGTCCAGCGGCGCTCCATAGCTGCGAAGTGCGCGGCGGATACTAATGCTGTCAACACAAGTTCAGATCCTAGACGCTCCCATGCTGCCGCTCCTCCTCCCGGTAACGAAGCTGATAAGCCGCCTGCATAGCCTGGCACGCTAACCCTGGAAAAAATTGAAATATTAATTAAATATTTAAGTTGTAATTTAATACAAATTAATAGTCAAGTGAAAATTGTTGTCAGTCAAGCGGGTCGGTCACTAAAGAAACGAACAAAAATCCTTTGCAATGTTACATTTACGGTGACCTCAAATAAAGTTGCGAAGCGGGCCGTTTAACAGCGATGATCTCATATTTAGTCAGAGCATATTGTGCGTGGTGGACCCCAGAAGTCCCTTACGTTTGCCTTATAAAGATACACTATATTGTTTTGCCTTTGATTCGTCTTCATTCAACGGTCACGAATATCTAAGATCATATTTCTGTTAACTAACTGAACTGAACTGCTTAATATTATTTCATCATATTATTATAAAAATGTAGTTTAATGTTCATCAATCATCATCATCATCAACAGCCTTTATTAGTCCACTACTGGACATAGGCCTCTTTTTAGAAAAGAGGTTTTGGCCTACTATACCACGCTGGCCAGACGGGTTGGTATAGGGCTTGTTTCAAGTTTTCCTTCTCTTTGCAGTGCTGTTGTCCTGCGTAGTTAGTTCCCTTAGTCGCTTCTTACGACACCTACGGGATGAATAGGGTTGGTGACACTCCGCATTCTTAATGCGTCACCACACGGACTGTTAAATTAAATGTTAAACGCGTTGATATACTTCCAAAGCACAAGCTGTAGTTTGTACTCATGGGCAGCAACAAAAACTGATCAATTCAATTTTTTCTATTGATACGTTTGCACCCGAGGTACATATTGATTTTAAGTAAGGTTTCGATTTTTAGAATATAAAAGTATATTTTTATATGGATCAAAGGCTCTTGGCCTTTCGTTATTCTTAGTAACACACGTAGGGTTATTATCACACTGGCGGTATAGTCTACTCACGGGTAATAGATTTAACAAAGTCAAACATTTGTGTGCATGAACATTTATTGTTTGATTTGGTCTGGGTGTTTCTATGTATAATAAGTATGTATTAACAAAAAAAAAGTATAGATGCAGTTATATCAGTTGTCTGGTAGACATAGAACCAGCTCTGCTTAGTTTGGGGCTAGATGGTGTTGTGTGAATGTGGTAGAATATTATTATTATTATGGTTTTATGTGGGTAGGTAACACCAAATAACCGTAAGTAGAATTTGCTGTGCTTACTTATATTGATAAAACATCGATCACATTAAAATGAATGATGTAAAACAATAATTAACATTTTCGAAGAGATTCGCAAGACCCGTGGTTTTCTCCGTCAAGAGAGTAAGAAGAGAGTTTGAAATAGCGATCAATTTTAAACAACAAATCACAACAATAAAAAACAAAAACAAAACGCTAAAATATGTGTGTCAGTTTTTCATTCAGTCATTATTTTCTATTGTTTTAAAGACACCGAAAGTGATTTCGTAGTCAATCAGATCTCAAATCGTTAAATGCTAGTGTTACAACAGCGATACATTTTCAAACTTAAAACTTTTTTCATTATGGGATCCTTGCATTATCAAAGGCGAGTTCACAAATTAGACAGCGTTGTAAAGGACTAGATAAATTACGGCACAGTTTCAAATTAACTACCAGAACTTCCTTAAAAAGTAAATTTTCAATTGCGATATATACGAAAACTAGTCATTTTCCTAGAAAAGACTATTTATTTCTTTGCTAGCTTTATTTACCTCACAGAAGGTAATTAAATTACTTTTCTAAATACAACAACGAATTCGAAATAAAAAATAAAGTGTAAGAACTTCCTCAGTTTAATGAAGAGACTGGTGCCGGTTTCGCACTTTTCATTTTAATTAAAATCCGCTAAATTCTACCCCGTCTCGGTTTCTTTTCATCGAGCAATTATGAGTCCACCGCACAGAATAATGAACATTCCATGAAATTGTAATGTACTTACTATAATGTAGTAAACTATAACTTTATGTACCTATTGACCGGTAACCAACAGCTACGTTCATTTTTAATTATTGTTTTCTTGCTTATATTTAAATTTGCTTATTTTTCTTAAATTACTCTGTGGTTCCTATGAATAATACAAAATTTTTTCTACAACATTTTATTCTAAACTTAAAACTGTGATGATTCCTTCTTTATATTGTCGTTTTATCCATCCAAAACTGCTTGTAACCATAGGCCGCCTTTCGAACATACAATACATATATTTCCATTTAAAATTTCATATTATTTCGTTCTTCTATTCCATAATCTTACTGCATTTGCTTTTATTTTTCTCTTGGTGAAATATAATTCATCTTTCTTAATCATCCTAATAATACAGTACTATTTTAGTCAAACACGTCACATAATGACCTAGATTTTAATATTGCCGATTTATTTTGAGAGAGAAGCTAAATTTATAAAGATTTTTGTGTTGCTACGACCTAGAAGTAAAAAAAAGTGAGAATCACCCGCATGTAAATTGTAATTAAATAAATAGTATACATTTAAATTACATCTTTAAATACATTTATGAGTCATCAAAAAAAAAACAAAATATATTATATTTAAAAACATAAAAAATAGTGTCCCATCGGTATCGGGTACATGGACTTAGATACCAATGGTTAGGACTTCAGAGACAGAGAAGAAATGTTTTCTGCATTAGGCCCTTAATCCAGCGGCCTAACGCGAGCTTCTGAAGATGTTATTATTATTATTATTTTTTTTTGACCAAATAAAGTCAATGTTTTTAAGACAGATTTGCCTATATTTGCAAGAAATTTAGATTCAATCCGCTCGTATATAAGTTTAGTACTTACAATTTGGCACGTCGTCCATCACATCTGGCGACAAGTTTTATTACTTGGTGTAATTGTGTTTACTTGTTGACCCTATTGCGGCGCGGGTGCCAACATCCAGCCTCACTTTATTGAACACTATTATACATTCTATTGTAACTATATCACTATGAAGTGGCTAACTTAGCCTATTTTTTTTGGATACTAAGATATTGTTAAATATGGGAAATCCCTGGGTTTTAAATAAATTATTTCGCCTGAATCAGTAAATGTAACACTTTAAAGTGCTGCCTGAAATGTCCGCCATTATCAATTTAATGTTTATATTTTCAAATATACATTAAATAGAAATGATTTGACACAGTATTTCATACAAAAATGTATCGCGTCTATCGTTTTGACGTTTAGTAAAAAAAAAACTGATTTGATTTGACTATCATCTACCCCACTGTGTATAATAATAATAATATTTAGGAAATCTGACATACAACGCCATCTAGTTTCAAACTAAGCAAAGCCCGGACTAGCCCTAGCGCACCTAGCCCTACTATGAACCTAGATTGACTGATAGAATACTTATTTACTTTTTTTTGTAAAGACACACATTATATTACGTATACGTAGAAAACATCCAAATTCCGAAACAAATATTTGCAGATTATACAAACATTTGGTCCGATCCGAGAATCGAACCCAAGATCTCAACACAGCAGTCGCATACGCTACCACTGCACCACCGAGGCAATCAAGTATGCGTATGGGTATAACGTGATCACGTTATATAAAAGCTATGAGGTAAATCCTCTTCTACCTTACATATTTGACTAGTTTGTGTCCGTTTCATGTAAGTATGTTTGTAAAGTCCCCCGCGACACAGGATTTATTCCTAATGCTGGAGTTGTCTTCTTAAAAGATTAAAGATTATAGCTGGTACCCGCAACTTCGTTAGCGTGGAATTTGAAAAGCGCTGCCGTAGTGGGTTCAATGCCGGGACCGGTCAAAATTTTAAAGGGTTTTTCTGAGAGGAAATATAGCCTAAGTTATTCCTTATGTAGACAGCTGGTAGTAAAATATTATCCGCAACAAACAGACAAAATAAAATTAACTGGTTTTTAGGCATAGGTATCGTGCAAATAATCGTGTAAGCATGAAAAAACCTTTAATTTTGACATTACAAACAGACACTTCAATTTTATTTATTTGTACAGATAATGGGGGTGTTCACCGCTGAGTCAATCAACCTGTGACAGCCGGTGCCAAATGTTCGAAACGTCAGTCAATTTTGAGGATATGTAATATCTCTTACGTCAACGCATAGATTCCCATATTTATATAAATCATGGTAAGGGAAAGTTAAAAATTGAGTACTATGATGTTGTTTTATGTTAACCTTGCGAATGATATAAATGAAATAAATTATGAATTCTTAAAGCGGTTGTCGATAACACGCAACAGCTTCTATTTTTTAAATATGATTTACAAAATTATGTTAAATGAAAATTAAAAAAATAGATTATAATTTTTTTAGCGACCTATACACTTATACCGAGACTCAATTGCGATATTATCTACAGAGAAACGCCGTGACCACAATCCGTGCAAAATGATCAAAATACGGACAAGCAAAACGGTATGATATGGTCAACGGTCCCGAGTTAAATTTGTACTACTTTAAGTTTACAAAAAGTAATAGGAAACTTCGAAGTTACAAATGGTTTTGGGTACTCCGTTTGCTCCGTGGCAGAACACCTGCACCACGTGTTCAGAAGATAAAAAAAAAGGCAGGAGTAGAATAATGGATCAGTTTGTGTTTTGCTTCTGGATCGAAACTGTATCACTAACACTAAATCGTAACTATAACTGTTATATTCTGTTTTTAAGCTATTGCATAGCTTCTCTCGCGGGCCTTGAGCGTGGAGACCGAATCCAGAAATTCCGTAACGAAAATAACCTAACACTCCGACCGGCACAGCGGTGATACTTTTTACTTTTTAGTTTTGCCATCTATCGATGAATAGCAGAACTTTTAATGACTATTTTGAAATATCACGCTTGTCTCTTTAGTTCAGCAACTCGCCTCTAGGTGGCATTGGTTGTATGGGCGTTACTTCGCATGCGTAATCCCCCTCTTCGCCCCGCAATCTAATTAATATCAAAAAAAAAACAAAGGAAAAAAAAATAAATAAATAAATAATTATAATTGCATAAGTTGATAAAAAATGCTATGCAATAGCTTTACCGCGGCAGTCCCCGAGTGCCACACGTCTTTTTTTTGTAAGCCAACAACGTAGGTTACACATTACTTGTATTATTATTACCCTTAATTTAGCTTAATGTGGGTAGATGAGTAGGGTTTGTGTTGGAAGTGTACAGGAGAGGGTTCGAAGCCACAACCGCTTAATCAGAAGTTGGACATCTTGGCTAATATGTTACCGCAGCTCATGCAAATTGTGACTCATATTAAATTTTATTATTTATAAAGATTAAAAGATCTTGTAAAATTGTTTCCACCCACTGCTCAGCCGATAACCGAGAATTTGTTATACATTTCGTTAAGAGTTTAATGGTCCAAAAAGGTACTATTGCCAAGAAATACTAACCTAAAATGTTATTTATTAAAAAAAAAAACTAACTATACAGCTCGTAAAAAATACTGAACTTAAATCGTGAAATAAATACTGATAATAATTTGTTAATATAAATTATCCGCCACAATAATTATTTAATTAGTGTTCGCTAAAGAATTTTATTTGAATTAAATTGCTTTTGATTGATTAACATCTAACCGATTTAAAAACATAAACCTCTATTAACATCACAATACCTTATTAAAATAACATAAACGGATTAATCTTATAACTATGTATCAAACTTTCACTACATTGAACGATGAGCTTACTAACAACGTATGCAAAACGGTACACCTGCGTTAGATATCATCGCTAAACAAATTCTAACATCGCTTCTAATGTCGATTAAGTCTTTTTTTATCCCATGTATCTTTTTTATTTTATCACAAGCTTTTTTCATGGCATTACTATTCATGCATAAGAGCAAACTTTTGGGGTGAAAACAAGATATTTTGTGTTTGATAAAACGATTTGAGGGTTAGATGTTTCTTTGAATTTAACTAGTCGTGTATTTTTATTTGATGTAATATGCGTAATCCCAATAGTGGGTTTTTTCATACAATGTGGGTCCAGATTTTATTTAACTTACAAATAAAAAGTTAAAAAGCAAGAAAAAATACTCTCTTAACTGCTGTTGTGGATGATACAAACTTATTAAGAAAATGGAAATAACGAGAAAACGGGACAAAGGTAGCATTTAATCTAGATTTCTGCTGCAGCACACTAAGTAATAAACAGAGACAGAACTCTTTGAGGCTTGTTTCTTTTGTTTTAATATGTTTTTTTTTTGCTTCAACTATATCTAATGTAATGTAACAAATGTTGAAAATAAACTTAACTTATTTATTTATTTATATCTTTATTGTTTACAGTTAACACATGAGAAACTTACAAATATATAGACGTAACAATCGGCGGTCTTATCGCTCACGGCGATCTCTTACAGACAATCTTAATACGGATATTAGATATTTAAAAAGTGGGGTAGTTTTCATACTCGTAACGCACTATCGCGAATATTTAAAAATATAAACAAAAGCATTCATACACAAATAAACATCTGCTCACATTACACATAGATTCTAAAATACATATTATAGAAATCAAATATAGCTCACCTAGGACCCGTAATATTTTGTGACCGTGGTGCTTCCCTGATTTAAAGGGTATATGCCTATTTTACTTCATTTTGTCTCCCGCTTTGCTAAGGAGGGAAGTGGATTTACGTTATTGCCAACTCCTCCAATTTTCTTCTGATTAATTTCGTTGCGAGTTCCGAGACAGTTTAATTTCTTCCTGGGACTTCTCGAGTGTCATAACTGCTAATTATCGTATCGAAATGAAGCTTTATGTAATAATTATATGTACCTATGCAGATGATGTTTAGATGACTATACTACAATTTGACGACTTTAAGCTTAATTGATAATAAGCTAGAAGGTGGGTAGCGGAATGGTTCAGTAGCTACCGGTAAACCCCTCAATTTTGAATCAATTTAAGGCAGTACTTTGTTCTAAACCGCTAGTACGATATTTGATATTTAATCAGTTCCCTACAATATTTTTGTTTACCACTGATTTCTTAGAATCT